TATATATATATATATATATATATATATATATTAAATAGTTTATCACATAATTGTGCATAAAAATTATAATACTTGACAAAATTAAGGACACATGTTCGTACTATAGAAGGACAAGTGGAAAGAAACATTAACTTACATGATAGTGGGGCCTGACAAGGTCTAGTAGGACTGATACAAACAATTGTACCACAACAATATTCCAGTGCCGTAGTAAGCATCAGCACTGTGACAAGCTCCTAGTGCCGCGATAATGCCCAATGTTGTAGAAGGGTGGGACACATTTTCATCACATTGAAAATGGCAAAATGGACCCTTGACCGACGACGGACAAGAGTGACACCGCAGAGGTATGGGGGCAACCTTTAGCATGACTCACCTCCCTCGTTACGAAAACAGAACACAAGGTTGGGATTGCACATCCTGCGAAAATAATATCCTCAACCTACTTGACACCTTTGCTCGACTGGTCCATTGGACTAAGAGGAGGGGTCACATCTAAGGACAGGACAGTGTAACCCTCCTCAAAGGAGAACTAAACAACGGAGATAGACGAACATGATTGTCAACCTCGGCATAGGGCCTCATAAATAGGCCTTATCCATTGGGCTACTCAAAGTGTTAGAAGAGTTTAGCATTAGCAACAATAGAATAATATCAAAGAAAAGTCATTCCACTCTTTTCCTAAAATTTTAACTTACAGGATCATAAGTAGTACTAAGTAACCGTAAGAAATCAGGGAGTGAAATAAGGCAAATTGCGAGAAATAATAATAACTAGATGAAGTCTTAGTCCATTTTGATTGGGATCTAGGAGGACTCTTAAGGCAATTGGAGTCATTGGTCTGGATCAACATATGGGATAATGAGACATATGGATTGGTGGCTGAAAGATCGAAACTATATGAGTTTCCTCTATCAGGAACCTTAACAAAAGATCTCAAGGAAGGGGTTCATAAAAGGAAGGGAGAATCCCTAGTAATAGTGAGATGGGGGCATCGCGTACATGGCCTTCTTGAGGGTCATGGTCCTGCGATGACCAGTCACGTTTATTAAACTTGGGAGTCCTCTTTCGCCTTAACTATCGCACTCCTCCTAATGGCCGCGTCCAGACTGCATTTAGAGAAACATTACATCTGTCCAAGTAATGTTAGGACACATGAATCGTGGTTAGCAGCCACTGGTATCGTCGTGGTCGAGACAATTATGAGTTAGCGTAAGTATAAGTGGGTCACAACGAGTAGCTCAACCTGTCTTGATACTATGCCGTAAATACTCACATTATTTGCTCATTACGAGACTTGAGATTTCTAACGATGAGACCATTTTACTGCATCCACCTAACCTCTGTCCAATTAGTTGGTTCATTCATTACGAGACTATTCGAATTTCCTTCCCTCTTATCTACTTATTTTACTCATCTATTTCGATTATCCTTGATATGGACATGTGCGTCAACATCTTTTAACTCCCCAACTACAAAATTTAATTTTTTTTATATTTAATTTTTATTAACTTTTATGAATAAATACTCATTTTTTTGTATATAATATGACACTCTCGAGACAATTCTATTCACAAATATTTTTAAATTCCATTAAAGTTTGTACGCTCCCTCTATATGATTTAGGTTACACTTAACATCAGTCAACTTCAATATCCAATGGTTTCGTAAGCAAAGTGACGCACTCTATTTCTGCTGGGTTCTTGTTTTTATTTTCAACTCATTTTGAGCCAGTCGTACGAAAATAAGATGTAACTCATTTTGAACCACTCGTACGAAGATATGATGTAACTCATTTGGAAGCACTCAAATGAAACAAATTATGTAGACTATATAAAAAAAAAAAGAAATCAACTAAATATCACTGCCTATAAATAAAAAATTATTTCTTCTTCTCTATCATAAGCAACAGCTTCTTGTGTTTCTTTCAATTTTTTTAAGAGTATATTTGTGGAGGACTAACGAGCTTATCAAGTAAGTTCCTCAAAATTTATTTCTAAAAATTGAAATAGGAGGGCAAATAAAACTTTTGAGAAGAGATAAGAAGGAAATGAGGTGTTCGATTTCTCTTGAACTATTGAATTCTTCAATTATTTTACATTGCTCCAAACATAAATATTAGTTATTTTTTTAGACAGAAATTGTCAAAATGAAACAATTTTTCATCCAATTTATAACAAATGTTTGTTATCGGGGCATAGTAAAAATAATCACTATAGTTGAAGGTGCAATATAAAAAACATGACAATTGAGGGGTAATATGAAAAGAGAGTCATAGTTAAGGGCATTAAAATATAATTATCCCAAATTTGAAGAAATTTTTCATTATTTGTACAGTTCCAACCCCTATATTCAAATTTCATACCACTAAAATCTGGTTACATTTTCATATTTCAAATTGCTCATTAACCCATATTCTTCTCTCTTTTTTTCCTTTACCCACATTCAAAAGGATATGATAAAGATAACCGATGGTGCACTGGTGTATATTTACAAAAACTAAACTCAAAGTAAAGAACTAATTACAAATAGGGTGTGATTATACCAGCATTAATGCATCGGATCACATCAGAACTCCGCAGTTTAATATGTTTGGACGAGAGTAATATTAGAATGGGTAATCCTTTAAGAAGTCCACTTGTTGCATCCCTTTTTTAAAAAAAAAATAATTACAAATATTGGAAAGCTACTGTGATGTTTTTTACAAGTCTGGGGGACTTCTAAACCAAACATTTCCCATGTGTATATTTACAAGTTTGCATTATACCAAACCTTGTTTCATTTGAAATCTTTTTGGAAATTTGTTTTGTAATTTTTATATCTCACTTGCATTCGTGGATGAGAAACTGGGTATCTTTGGACAAATTCTTAGGTATTTGTTTGCCCAGCCTTTGTTAATTTCAAAGGGATAACTAATGAGCTGCCAGTTGTCTAATATCATCGACAAGGAGCTTGCTTCTTTGTCGTCCAAACCCTTTGAGCCCTACATCTTCAGAGTGGATGGCCCACTACGTAGAGAAAACAAGAAAGCCCATGAACTAAAAATGCATGCAATCGCTACTTATCATCACGGTAAAAATAACTTGAAAATAATGGAAGAGTTTAAACTGCGATACCTACAACTGTTACAACTGTTGCTTAAGCGAATAAACGAGTTGAGTGTGGATAGATATGTCACTATCATGCAAGATTTGGAAGAAAAAACACAAAAAATCTTATCCAGAGTCTGATGGACTTGGGAAGGACGAGTTTGTGCAAATGATGTTTTTTTATGGTTGTTTTATGATAGAGTTATTTTGCAAGTTTGAGGGTCACACATGTAAGGATGACCCTATTTAAAAATTGAAAAAGTTCAGGCCCACTTTTACATCAAGATTTATTATTATTTGAAAATCAACTCCCATTCTTTGTCCTTGTGCTCTTATTCAACATGACAAAAAATTCAAACCAACGAAGAAACATATTTTCCTCAACCTTGACGTTCTTCGCTCGCTTTTATTTAGAACTTCCCAGTGTTCCAAGGCATGATGTCAATCATGTACTAGACCTTGTACACGAGTCTTGGTGTTCCTCATTTGCTGCAACGTTATCTTCTCGTGGGAACTATGCTAACCAAGGTATTACATGGGAATTCATAAAATGCGCCAGTCCTTCGAGAGGCTGGTATTAAATTTGAAAAGGCTACTGAAAGTTCCTCGTCGATGGATATAAAGTTTAAAAATGGAATCACGAAAATCCCACCTTTGATAATTGGTGATGGTACAGAGATTCTCTTCAGAAATATGATTACTTATGAGCAATATAATGGCAGAAGTGAACCAGCTTATGTGACTCATTTTTTTACATTTTTAGATTGCCTCGTCAATACTCTCAAGGATATCGAAATACTACGTCCTATGGAATCATTGATAATTAGTTAGTCGATGATGAAGCTGTTTCGACCACATTGAACAAATTGGGCAATTATATAGTTCTAGATGAAACAACTTTCTATTATTTAGAAGTTTTCAACAAAATTAACGAACACTGCAAACATCGTCGACTTATATGAATGGCTAAATTAAGGCATAATTATTTCAACAACCTGTGGTCTGTCATTTCACTTTTTGGTGTTACTTTGTTGCTTCTGCTGACTATTAGACTATAAGCTCTCTCTTACAAGTCTCATGATTTGAAGTCAAGTTTGATTTACTTGTCTCCTTAAATAAATACATTATGTTTTCAAATAAGTTGTACTAATTATTTGGTCAACCAGTTGTTTCATAAATGTACAGTAAGAATTTCTTGATGTGAAAATATTATAAGCCATTAGTTGCAGAAAATTAACATCCAGTTTGATCTCTATGGGGTTGTAAACATTTTGAAGGTCACTTAAAATAGTTAACAACGTTTCTAGTTTAAGCAAAAAATGTGTTCATATTATTGTGTGACTATTGGGTAGCTCCTGTATGGATCTATCCATTATATTGGGCGACTATTTGTTAGGAGTGCAAATGAATCGATGCGATCATTAGATTGTTCGTACTTAATTTGTTTGTCCGAGATTAATGTTTATATTTGTTTTGGCTTAGCTCATCTAATAAGCAAACTTGGCTTAAGCTTTTATTAAAGGGTATCCTTTCACTTTTTCGTCCAATTTAGAGAGGATAAATTTGAATAAGGTCAAAAGAAGATTAATTCATCTAGTTTTCATTTCAGCCACTTTTTCTTCCTAAACTCCCTTATACATCTACTAATTACTAAAAGCACCACCTTCAACTATGTTATTTTAGATGTATTTTGATATCAAATTTTAGATATTGGTTTCTCTTATCCTTATTGTTGTTATTGTTGTGGTTATTGTTATTATATATTATTATTATTATTATTATTATTATTATATAAGTAGGAGTTTCTGAACTAATTTAAGATTGTCTTTTCATACAAATGCAAATATAATCACATTTCTTACCGTTTCTATTCTCTCTATATTTTCTCATCAGCATAATGAAATAATTATATGTTGTTATTTATTCTTCTTTGTCTCTTATTCATATTTGAAAATAAATGAAATTTATTAACAACAAAAATAAATTTTCTTTTAAGTTAATTAGTACTCTATACGAGAGAAAAATCTTGTATCTTCAACCCATGACAATGTGGGATTTGGATTGACTAGAAAAATAAACAAAATTGCATTGCTTCTGCAAAATAAGCAAACTATTAGAGATTTGGGCCGCGGGGGGTGGATCAGTCTAAGATACTCTGATGCTTAAGTCAATAAAACTTCTAAAAATAAGCTACAAATTTTGCATAAAAAGAAATGCATACCTTAGACACATTACCCAGTATTTATAATGGCTCAGTGTACCATTTCTACTATGGTTTCTGCCACTGACCGTTCAAGGTGACACACTTTCATATTAAGAAAAATTCTCATAATTAGCGTTGGAGCTTTTTTAGGTTTCTTTTCTAGTTTGCCTATTCTTTAGGCCACATTTTGTATTGTCCACTTATAACTTAAGCAACTTCCTTAGGTTAGCTGAGCTATACTCGATTCGGTTTATCTTTGGCAATCAACTTGGTGGCTCTTTTTCCCTTTATTCGGCTCGACAAGCAACTATGTATCTTTATTAATCGACAACCATCTGCTAGTTCGGTTTGGCCTTTTCAGGCAGGTTAGCCCAATGCTTGAATAACCGACCTGCTGGCTTAGTCGGGGCTTTCAATTCAACATTACCCTCTTGACCACGTGTCTTATGTCACGTATTTGTATTACTTTAAATCATTAAATAATTTTGTATCGTGTCATGTTATGTTCATATCGTATTATTTTAATTTTTGTCGTACGAATATCAATATTTCTATTAACAAAAAATTATTTATGTTTAAAAAATTGATTAAGTGCTTCATCAAGAATTAAAAATATTTAAATATACACATTTTTCATAATATTAGTCAATATTTTATTTTTGTCTAACACTAATTCTACCTATTCATTATTGAAAGGCCTTGTCATTTTGGATTTATAGATGTGGTATTGCGTTGAATTTAACGTTTTCCATCAGCCACGTAAGTAAGAGTAAGCTCCAGGTCCCATTATCATATGAGAATGATACAACAGCTGCGAGTCTTGATAATCTTTGTGTTGTCCAGACGGTGACCTCTTGATTTTGTTGACTACAAAATTGTTTCCGGATGAAATGGTTGACTTGCTCAGTGGACGTACGGTTTGATTTTGTTAGTAGTACTATAAGCTACTGAGGTTAGTTAGACAAAAACAGTTTAGTGAACTTACAAATGAGGTTAGTTAAAAAAAAAAAAAAATTCTTTCAAATTAGGAAAATTCTACGGTAACCGAAAAAAAACAAATCAGTATCATATCAAAAATCATTATTTTTTAAGGTCAAATCACGACCTTAAAAAATAAAATTATAATTTATTTTTTTTTATAAAAAACAAATGGTGAAAACAAAGAAGAACGCTTAAAGATCATCCTGATGGACCCTCATTAGTGAGATCATGAGGCTCTTAACTGTGTCTATTACTCCTCACAGGAACAAGCCTACCTCGGTTATCATGGTGGTCAACCACCGAGCTCCAATGTGAACTCCAAAACACGAATCTCTAACTTCAGGATGAGAAGTTCATCGATTCTCCACTGAACCACCTCAGTCTCTAATAAATAAAATTATCATTTCTTGAAATGATTTATGACCCATTATGAAATATTTGATTAATCACAAATAACCATACTCAATCGTAATTTCCTCTTTGAAAAATATAACTTCAATTTTAAAAATTATAACTCTACCTTTAAGAATTATAACTTCCATAATCGAAACCATTTTATGATCGATCATATTTTTTGTAATTATAACTTATATCTTACAAATTATAATTTGATTTAAAAATAATAAATTTCAATACTCGGTTTGTAATCAACCTCTATTATTTTTTTGAATAATATTATATATACCACTTTTATACATCATTTCACTCGCACCACCTAATGTTCGCTTAGAGATCGCAATTATAGTAAGAGTAAAAATTTTCATCCATCATTTCCATCGTGGCCTCATTGCACTTGTCAATTAAAGCTGATTTATCGGATTGAAACATCCATTGTCTTCGATAACTAAAGACAAGATTACCATCTCATTGGCTTTAATATTTCGAATGTTCTCAGTTTTTCTATCAAGTACACGAATGTTTTCTTCTCCCTGAAGAGAATAATAAACAAAAACGTTGCCTACGAAGGATTATTAGTTATATAATGGAGGAAGGTGGGGATGACATCACGTCTGCATGACTCTTATGGGCCAGACACGTGCTGCGCAATTACAATTACAATCACCAAATATTTAATAACTAGTTATTGTTTGTATTTGAAGGCACTAAATAATAAATATATTTATATTCATATTCAAACTTAATTGCAAACATTGAGAAGAAATAAAGTAATTTAAACATTGATTAATAGTGGGGGTGAGAGATAGTGGGTGATAATGGTGGTGGTAGGAGACAGTAATAGTTGTAGTGGCGGTGGTTATGGTGGTGGTAATGGCGGCGGCGACTGCGGTGGTGGCGACGACGGTGGTGGTAGTGGCGGTGGTGGTTGCGGCGACGACGATGACGGTAGTGGTGGTAACAATGGTGGTGGTGGCGTTG